CCTACCAGCCTCATCCCCGCCTCCTTGACCTGTCCGTCTTCCCTTGACTGACCTACCCCCATCCTAACTCCCCACCTACACTCACCTTAACTGGCTCCATCCCGGCCTCCCTGACCTGTCCGTTTCCTCTCCACCTATCTGCTCCTTTATCCATCTTCCATCCGCCTCCCCCTCTCTCTCTCTATTTATTTCAGAATCTCCTTCCGCTCCCCCATTTCTGAAGAAGGGTCCAGACCCGAAACATCAGCTTACCTGCTCCTCTGATGCTGCTTGGCCTGCTGTGTTCATCCAGCTCTACACCTTGTTATCGGAGATAAAGATAAACTGTTTCCACTGGTTGGGGATTCTAGAACTAGGGGGCTTAGTGGAAGAATTAGGGCCAGACCATTCAGGAGAGATGTTAGGAAGCACCTCTACACACAAGGGATGGTAGGGTTTTGGACCTCTCTTCCACAAACAGCAATGGATGGTAGATCAGTTGTTAAAATAAGTTATCTCCGTCTTAACATTTTGGTAAGCAAAGGTATTAAGGGATATGGGCCAAAGGCAACTAGCTATATGGAATTAAGTCACAGATCAGCCAAGACCTCATCGAATGGTGGGACAGACTCAAGGGGCTGATTGGCCTACTCCTGTACTTATGTTCCTGAATCATTCAGGTAACAAATTACACCAGGAGCAGTGAAAGAACTCAGCTCTCAAATACAAAAGTCTGGTGAGCATTTCAATCAACTTAAAGGGACCTACATCTGTAGCTCCGACAACAAGAGGGATTTGTAAACAAGGACTGGTAGATTAAAATGGAGGTCATTCCCAAACGGAGCCGATGCAGATCAATAGACGCAGACATGATTTTTTTTTTCCCTCAAGATTTGAACATGGCTGGTCAGGCCACCTTTATGACTAAGCCTAGTTGCCTAGTGTTGTTGGTCCTCTTGAACTACTGCAAATCTAATGTTTATCGTCCTCTTACAATGGTGTTATGGTGTGTAAATATTATTGAATTGAATTCTGCTTCTTCTACAGCACCTTGCTGCAGTGGAGGAGCGGAAAATCAAATCATTGGTAGCGCTACTTGTCGAAACACAGATGAAGAAACTTGAAATCAAACTCCGACATTTTGAAGAACTTGAGACCATTATGGACAGAGAGAGAGAGGCAGTAAGTAGCTGTTAGGAGCGATTCCAGCTCAAAGTAGTAATTGCAAGAGGTTCTTGACCATGTCATTTGAATTTGTATTTGTGATTTACTTTGATTATTTCTTCTATCATATTTTCAATATAACAGTTGGAATACCAGAGACAACAGCTTCTCTCAGACAGACAAGCCTTTCACATGGAGCAACTGAAGTATGCTGAGATGAGAGCACGGCAACAGCACTTTCAACAAATGCATCAACAGCAGCAACAGCAGCATCAGCTCCCGTCTGGCCCCCAGGCCAGTCAACAGCCAGCCATCATTCCTACATCTGTGCAACCAGTACCGCCTGCTGCAGTTCAACAGGGAGCTGTGAATCAGGGTTCAGGTGATTCCATAGCTCAGTCCATTCCACAACAACAACAGACCCCACCAACGCAACGACAGCACCAGCAGCAGCAACAGGCTCAACCTGCTGTTCTTCCTCATGGTAACTGTCAGAACTGGATAGAATATGCTAGTCACCTTAAAACTATTCTATGCAAGCAAGGGGATCGCGAAGCTAGGTTCAGGAGTGGATCTAAACACTGATTTGGCTGACACATCACTCAGAGCTCTTCCGTATTGTCCTTATCAGTGACTGACCTAGACCCTAGCGCAGTGTCCCTAGCTCTGACTGGACTGGACACTGGTGCAGACACCAGGGTCCAGTCCGGTCCAGTCAGTGACCGAGACACTGCACCAGGAATTGGACTGGGGGAAAACAGATTTTTTTTTACAAAATAGGCAGGATCTCAGCAAAGTCGGCTGGAAACAGCTGCTTGAGGATAACTCTACAGCAATGCAGTGGGAATCTATCACAATGGAATTTGGGAGAGTACAGGCTCAACATGCTCCCTTTAGGGTGAAATGTTGGAGCAGCAAGCCCAGGGAATCCTGGATGTCTAGGAATATTCAGACTGAATGTAAAGGAAAAGAGAGGCATATAACAGCTACCAATGGAGCAAATCAACAGAGGCCCTAGTGGAGTGTACTAAGTCAGGGGGTGTGGAGATCTTAAGAAAGCAATTAGGAGAGCAAAAATGGGGCATGACAAAATACTGGTGTGCAAGATTAGGCAGAATGCCAAGGCAAGTATATTGAGGAAAAAGGGATAACCAGGCAAAGAGTCCAGGGAGCAAGGGGGAAACCTCTGCATCAAGCCAGAGGACATTGGTCGAGTGTTAAATGAATAGTTCACATCTGTCTTCAATCAGGAGAAGGATGATGTTGGTACAGAGTTCAGGAAGATGGACTATAAGGTTCTTGAGCAGATTGATATAAGGAATTATAAGGTTTCACTGTGCTTAAAAGTGGTCAGATCGTCAGGTCCTTGTGAGTTGTATTCCAGGCTGTCGTGGGAGGTGAGAGAGGAAATGACAGGGTCCCTGACCCAAATTTTAATTCCTGTCTGGCTGCAGGGGAGGTGCCAGAGAACAAATAACGTGGTTCCACTTTTCAAGAAGGATGGTAAATATAAACCAGGTAATTACAGACCAGTGAGTCTCTCATCAGTGGTAGGGAAACTGTTGGAGAAACTTCTGAAGGAGAGAATGAATTTCCATTTAGAGAGGTAAAGTTGGATCAAGTAGTGTCAGCATGGCTTTGTCAGAGGGAGGTCATGTCGAACAAATTTGATTGGTTTTTTTGAAGAGGCAACCAAGTGTGTAGATGAGGGTAGTGCAGTTAATGTAGTTTGAGTTTCGGCAAAGTATTTGACAAGGTCCCACGTGGGAAACTGATAAAGAAGGTAAAGCCACATGTAATCCAAAGTAATTTGTCAAGTTGGATCTAAAATTGGCTTCATGATAGGAGACAGATGTTGGTGACGGAAGGCTGTTTGTGTGACTTGAGGTTGGTGTGCAGTGACATACCTGAGGGATCAGTGCTGGGTCCATTATTGTTTGTGATATGTATGAATTACGTCAATGAGAATGTGGGGGAGGATATGATAAGTGGCACAAAAACTTGGCCAGGTGGTTGACAGTGAGGAAGGAGGTGTTAGGTTACAGGAGGATATAGATGGGGTGGTCAGATGGGCAGATGGAATTTAACCTTGATAAGTGTGCGGTGATCCACTTTGGAAGAAGTAACAAGACAGTGGAGTACTTAATGAATGGCAGAACACGAGGAAGCTCAGACTAACAGGAATCTTGGGAGTGTTTGTTCACAGATCCCTGAAGGTAGCAAGACAGGTTAATAGAGTGGTTAAGAAGACATACAGGACACCTGTCTTTATCAGCCATGACATAGATTATAACAGCAGGGAGGTTATTTTGGAGTTGTACAGAACTTTGTTTAGGCCACAGCAGGAGCACTGTGTGCAGTTCTGGTCTCCACACTATAGAAAAAATGTGATTGCACTGGAGGGGGTGCAGAGGAGATTCACCAGCATATTGCACTTTAGCTATGAAGAGAGGCTGATGAACTCGGGTGGTTGTTTTTATTTGGAGCTGAGAGTGTTGAGGGGGACCTGATAGAGCTCTATATGACTATGAGAGGCACGGACAGGGTGAATAGAAAGCAGCTGTGCCCCTTAGTTGGAGGATCAGTAACAAGCGGCCATACCTTTAAGGTGAAAGGCAGGAGGTTTAGAGTGGATTTGAGGAAACATTTTTTCATCCAGATTATGGTGGGGGTCTGGAATGCACTGCCTGGGAGGGTAGTTGAGGCAGGTAACCTTTAAAAATTACTTGGGATGAGCACTTGAAATGTTATAACATTCAAGGCTATGGGCCTAGTGTGGGAAAGTGGCACTTGTGTAGATTTAGTGTAGCTTTGGCGGTACAGACTTGGTGGGCCGAAAGCCCTCTTCTGTATTGGAGGATTCTGTGATTCTATGATACAGTTTGTCAGGACACTGTATAACTCGAGCTGTAGAGAGTGCTTTAAACCAAACAGTGAGAGGGAAGGGTTCAGGTGAGGGGAGATTTGGAAAGTTAGAGAGAAAGAGCAAGGTGATGGTGCAGTGATATGGGTATTGGTAACCGGTGTGTGACAGAAGGAACAGACTGCAGGAATGGAAGAGTTTTCCCATAGTGATCATCATTGTTTTAAGCTCCTGCCTCCCTTTTGCTTCTTGATTTTCTTTTGTTCTTGGGATGCTGTTTAAGTCTTCTACTGCGAAGACAGGCAAAATACTGTTCAAAACCTCTGCTATTTCTTTGTTTCCCATTGTCAGTTTTCTAGTCTCATCCTCTAAGGAACCAATGCTTACTTCAGTTACTCTCTTCCTTTTTATGTACTTGTTATTACAGGTCTTTCTAGTCATTCTCTAATTACTCTCTCTTTTAACCGTCATTTTTTTTTTGTTAGAAAGGGAGAGCAGGGACTGAGGAGGAGGTAGCGACTGAGGAAAATTGGGGGCGGTGGTGGTGGTGTAGAGAGCAGGGGTTTGTGGTGAAGGGCATACAGGTGGTGACTTATTCACTTTGTTTTGCAGTAAAAACAAACTTCATTTCAGTAGGAATGGGATAAATATTTGTAAAGACATGTGTGACAAGATTTGAGGGAATGGGGCTAAATGAGACACCAGTGCTGGGGGCCACCCTTCTCTTGTTTTTTTTCAATAGTTTTTGAGCCTGAGTCCAGGGAATGGTTCAGATGTATTGGTGCTGAGCTGATTGTTCCCTGTGTGAAATGCCCCAAACACCAAGCTTGCTGCCCTTTGAGTGAGCTCCACGTTTGATTCAGGTCACACTCTGCTGACAGTTTTAATATGAGGTCTAAGAACAAATTAGGTTTTACTGAGGCTCCCAGTTCACATGGAACCAGAGTTTAAGGAGATAGGGAGAGATCAGATTATTGGAAATGGCATTGATTGGTGAGGTTAACTACCTGTTGTCCAGTGCAAAGGAATTCTGGCTGTGGTTTCAGGGTTGACTGTCAGCAGATTAGAGGATTACTGTAAGTAACAGGTAGGATATAATCTATTATAACCTGTAAGATATAGACTGTCAGTGAGTTCTTGTATTACTGCACATGGTGAGGGATGTCTGAATTGCGAGTATTAGTCACCAGTGCAGTTTTAGCGAGTTACTGTGAGGTATCAGTGGAATTAACGCACCCCCAGCTCTGGTTTTCCCCTCAATGAATTGATTCCCACATGTTTGAGTTCTGTCACTTGCCTACAGTTTTCTCTCTTCCCCCACCCCAAAACATCCTAAGTTCATACCAGACTCAAAATATCTACTCTGTTTCTTTCTCCACAGATGCTGCCAGATCTGCTGAGTTTTTCCAGCAATTTATTGGTTTTGATTCACATATTGAGATCTGGCTTTTCAAGAGCCCACAGGCCCTGAATTCAGTTCAAATTGCAGTGAGAACTTTTTTCTATTTTGCAGTTAATATGGGTTTAATAAATTTTCCATTTCAACTGTTGCATTTTTTGGCAAACTGGGAGGAAGTGCAGTGCCTGTCAATTGTTTAAATTTTGTCCAATAAGTATTGAAAATGCTCCTTGAAAATAACCTGTGCTGATTTGCCATGGATGAAAATTAGAAGTTGCTTTTTCTCTTGCAGGTCAGCCACCATTTCCAAGTCAACAAACTCCAAATCAACTGATGCCCAGTAACATGCCAGTTGGCATGCCTGCGAACATGTCTGGTAATATGGCTGCTGGTATGCCTTCTGTTGTGCCAGCCATTATTGCATGTAGCATGGGTAGTGTCATCTCAGAAAATGTTCCGGCTAACCTCCCTGCTAGCATGCCAAACCAAGTGCATGGTCATTTACCCAGTAGCATGCCTGGGGGTGTCCCTGGCAACGTGTGTATAGGGTTGCCAGGACGTTTGCCTGTAGATCTGCCTAGCTCTGTACATCCTAACATACCTGGAAACATCATCCCACCCTCCATGTCTCTAACTTCCACCCCAGCGTCAGCAGCTGCTCAGAGCCCTGCCATTGTAGCCGCCATGCAGGGGAATACAAGTCCGTTGCAAGGTGAGAAGTGATGGTTGGCATTTTATTATGTTCTGTTAGATGACAACTATATTTGCAGAAGGGCTTACTGAGACATATGTGATCCTGAAAATGAGAAATTTATTCACAGAAATACAGAAGTGACCTGAAGACAATACCGTACCATACTGCCTTACATCACTATTCTGGAGTGAGAGAAGGAAACATAACCTGTGCTGTTGCCAGAGCAATGACATCTGTATGAGAGTAGTAAAATTAAAAACTAACTCAATGCATGTGGGAGCTTTCCTTTCACACTCTGGGACTGTATGGTACAGTGGGTTATCACACTGTCCTTTCACACTCTGGGACTGTATGGTACAGTGGGTTATC